ATCCCCAATGGTAGTGTGTTTGATCATCTTCTCTACATCCCCATCAATAGAGAGAAAAATCAAGAGAATGCCACAAATCACTTTGGAATATCTAATCTATTCAGGCAAACAATCAGAAATCTATGGATCAAGGTACGCTTCCACTTTTATTTAGTTGTCTCATTGATTTCAACATGGATGGTTATATTGGAGAAATGAATTTTCTGTTTTTCTATCAATATCTCTATAGTGTTAGCCTGTTAGAGCATATGTTGGAAGCATTGAAAATGAACGATTTTTTTTTTTATTTAAATCTTTTTATTGTATATGTGAGAACTTTAAGAAAACATGTATCCATAATTTTAGATTAAAAATGTTTTCTATTTCTGCTAGTTCTATCTAATCATGTCTGCTTCTTTTGGCATTCATTTTTCGTTTTCAATTTGGAATAATTTTTCGTTTAATTTCTAGTTTTTGTTATAATTTTTTTCTTAATTTTTCATGTGTTGAACTTGACATTTGTCAAATGAATAAATAATAATAATAATAATTGTTTGTAATTAGAGAGTACACTCTCTTCAATTTAGATTGCATTTGCAAAGGGTGTTGAGAAATCTGGTAAATGGACATTTTTTGCCACATTCCTGTGAAATCTCTGCTGCGTTTTAAGTGTGCTTGCAAATCATGAAATGCTAATTCATTTCTTGAATTTGGTAGGGGTTCATCGTGTGTCTTAAATGATGATGACGTTAATTATTATAACTTCTTTGCTTTTGTTAAATAATATAATAATCTCTTATATTTTTTTATGTTCAAGTTTCACGATGGCCGATTCAATATAAAAAAGGAAAACGGTATGCAAAACTATTTTACAAAAAAATGTATTTGTGTTAATATTACAAGCAATTCTTTAAACAATAGGATTTTTACTTACTTTTTGCAATTTTAAAAGTAGGATTTTGAACGTGATACAAAATTCAAATAAATAAATAACGAATATCAACTGTAGTAACAAATGACTTCATTAAATAACAATTAGTCCATCTTCCGTAGGGATTACAATCTAAATTTTTATCAAAGTTAAAATCAAAAATTAATTTTAACTACACATATTTCATGGCCCACAACTTTTCAATTTTATCAACTTCTTTCAAAATATAATAAAAATATGATTTTAGCGTACAACACCATTAATTTCTAAATTGACTGAAGATCAATGCAAATCTCTTTTCATTTCATCCATACACCATGCTTAACCAGGTGACTGTATTCATGGGTGAAGGATGGTACTATGATTTCTGTCATACACACTTCGATCCTTATTCTCCTCCAGATTTCTATGCAAGGGTAAGTACATAATAATTACTTGCTTCCTGCCTACCACTTGGTTCCAAACATGCAACTCATTTTAGTTAATTTTTTGCTTTAGTATTGAAGCTAATGCTTTATTTGTATGCTTCTCTGACTAATGACTAAGTGTCTTTCTATATGACCAGCCGTGTGTCTCTCTTTTAGGCATATGCTAAGTTGTGATCTTGTGCCCTAGCAGAAAGAATAATAAAATATTAGCTTTTGACCAGTAGATGAATGCTATCTCGAGGGTCCAAATATATTATTTACAGTAGATTTAGCTCTTGTTTGATTTTGATTCTTTGATAATTTTATTTTTCCCCTGGCTGAATGTCTGATTAGAAAGTGAAAAGTGTTTTTTTTTGTGAAAAAAGAACATGTCTCAAAGAATCAAAATAAAAAAAAAGGGGCTATAAATGGGGTGTGTATTGGGTTACTAAGTTTACGAACTTATTTATATTCAGGTAGGAATTGCTAGAGTGCCTAGTGATACTAAGATGAAGAAAACAAAGACACTGAGGACAATTGGATACCAACTTGGGATGAGGTTTTTGAATACCCATTAACAGTTTCGGAACTAGTCGTGCTTCGAATTGAAGTTCACAAGTACGACATATCTGATAAGGATGACGATGAGTGCTCCACACTCATGATATTTATGCCATTTAATGCATTATTTTGTTACCCTTGAGAAAGCTTTAGAGTATTTTTATGTGTGTTTTGATGTTGTGATGTAGGTTGGTGAGATGGAAGAAAATAAGCAAAAGTGGACAAATTTGAAGAAGGGGCTAAATTGTAAGAGATTTAAAGTTCGGGGACTAAAGTGCAAATACTTAAAAGTTATGCCGAACCTCACGATGAAGATTTGAGAGTACTCTGAGCTAATTGGATGAGGAAAGATGTCAAAGGGATCAAATTTAGTCAAAAATGATCACAAATTAATTTCCAACCGAAAAGTTTTGCTCCGGATTTTTAGTATCATTTTGAGCTTCACTTTTCACAGAGTAAACGATCGAATTGGAGGATGACATCTGAAGTAAAGTTATAGCCCTTTGAGTTAGCTTTCCAACACATTTTGAATCGCCTCAATCGGATATTGGAATCAAAAGTTATGATCAAAATACCGAAAACCTGTGCAACTGTTTACAGGGGGTTCGGGCGCCCCCGCGCCCAAAACCGGCGCCCCTGCGCCGCGATGACGCCAGTTTTATAAATACAGCTGCTAGGGTTCGAAAAAAGGAATTTTTGGAAGGAAAGAAACAGCAGCCACACTAAGAAGAAGGGCCTTGAAGATTTAGGAATCCACAAATCAAAGAGTTTTTCTTATTCTCTATTAATCTTCTCTATTTTATCAGTGTTTAAGATCATGGATTGTGTTTTCTTTTATATTTTCAT